TATGCTCTTCATTACATGCTGGACATATTTCTGGACAATCAAAAATAATCGCCATGTTCATCACTATATAATAAAGAAAATGCTCAAATTTCATTTTAATTACATGCTTTCATTTTTCTTCTGGATCATCGGGTAAGGTGGTATTAATTGGAGGCCGAGATGAGGGTGGTTTACTAACATTTGCTTTTTTATCTGAAGATGATATACTTCCCTCAGCTTCTGGCAAAGTTTTCTTTAACTTCCTCACTTACATCAGTTCTCGGTAATGTTTTCTTGGCTTCCTCGCCCATTTCGGCTTTCAACTCGGATGGTTTAGTCACATTGATCATATTAGTCAACTTCTTGGGAAAAATCTTTTATAATATTTTGAATTTTGAATATCGAAATAGCTCTTGCACTGTAAATTACTTGGTTAATTTTATCTATTCCTATTCCTTCAAACAAAATATAGATTTTTTTTGCCCTAAAAGTTATTTTACGCAAGTTTACATCAATAATGTCAGGTAGAAGCGATTTGATTTCATTATATACCAATGTCCTTGTAGATTTGCCATCAATTTTATTCATAGATATAATATTCCTGATTCTATACTCATATGCTATATAGTAACAACACCAGCAGAAAATTTCCTTTTGCCTAACCTTCATTGCTATATTAAATAAATTGGCTATATTTTGTGCTGTAACTCTACTAGATCCCATTAGAATCGCTTCAAAAGAGAATTCAGGAATTTGGATATCAAGTGAATCATTGGGCGTAATTCAAGCACAAGATGCATTAATTTCGTTATCATTTTCTTTAATACAAACAGATAACTCATGTCTTAAACCTTGCTCTACTTTTTGATCATACGGAATTTTTATTTTGGAAAAATGGCACTTTGTATGCTCTGGTTCTCATTCTGATGAATGGATGTTTGCTCCGATTCAGTACATTAGTGCCGAGATTTTGATTGGTTATTATTCTACTCATGGGGAATAATGGAGGAGTATCCTGAGAAGTTAAGAGTACCTCTTGAGTTCGAAGCTTCTTTTCCCTTATCATATTACTAGAGTTGTTCCATGCGCATGAAAAAAAATGCAATGCGCATGATTTTTTTTCAAATCATGCAATGTCACATACAGAAAATGCAGAAATTAAATTTTATATAAATCTCATAGTAGTATATTTGGCAACTCATGGAGATATCTACCAATAATGTGGATTTATTTATTAATATGGTGGAAAGATAATTTTGGAACTGTGGCACCTGAATTGACAAAAGTTGTGGTAAGAGTTCTTTCTATTCCTATCCCATCAACTGCAGTAGAAAGGAATTGGTCTACGTTTTCTTATATACATAATAAAAAATAAAATAAATTGACAAATGATCATGTTTTTAAATTAGTTTATATATATTTTGATAATAAATTGAAACCTCCAAAGATAAGTAAAGTTACAAATGTAGGTGAAGATATTGATGATAGCGATGATGACAATAATGATGATACTGTTGATGATAGTGATGACAATGTTGATAATGTTGATAATAGTGATATTAAAAGTGATGATGGAAATGAATTATCTGTAAACATTTAATTTTCATAAAGTATGTAAGTAATGCCGAAGTGATTTTTCTTAAAAAAAAAAAAAATGCACTGCATGAAATGCAATTTCCCATCCATACATATTACCAACCCTTTCTTTATGTCGCAAATCCATAAAATTACTGACCTCTTTATCTTCTGACGATTTAGTTTCTGTGGGGAATTAATTTCGAATGAAATCTCTGGACCTTTTTCTTCGTGGTGATCTTGAGTCGTAGATAGTGTAAACGATGTTTAATAAACTCATAGAAAACCATATGATTTTTGTATTATTATTTTGCGGTTGCCAATGTTCCATCCTCTTTTAATATTATCACCTGTTACTATTACTATTACTATATTTTTCAAATTCGACGGTCTCTCACCTGCATTATAATGTTGTGTGACCTTAGTTTTTAGCACAAATATAATTAATAATATGCTTGGCAAAATTTTTAAATTTATAAATGTCGTTGATCCGGTAAATTTCATTGTATTAGTAATAGTAAACGGTAATCGATTTTTCGTCCCATGATATAAAAAAACTATGATTCATTTTTATATTAAACTTTGATGATCAGTATTATTTACCAAATGTTGTGACGTCAGATGAATAAGGATATAATAATTGGGTTAGTTAGTGTTCGCCAGTATTGTTTGCTTACATAACTATGAAATAATCGTTATGAAATTTATTCATAATAATGTAAAAATAAAACAATACATCCGAAAATTTAATTTAAATTGAAGTAAAATTCTTCACTTGAGTATTAAAATTTCTTAAAAGAAAAAAAAGAAAAAAAGAAAAATGTTACAAGCAACTTTACCATTCGAGCTTTTAGATGAAATATCCAATTGCATTGAAGGTGATCATGGGACATTATATTCATGCGCTTTAGTTAATAAACAATGGCACTATGCTAGCATTCCAAAATTATGGAGAGAACCATTTTATTGTAAAGACAGCACCAAAATATTAATTAATTGTTTATTTGCACAAGATAAGGATTTTTTCAGAATAAACTGCATTGAATTACCTCTTGGTTTATTACTGGATAAACCACCAATGCACAATTATGGTATGTTTGCTACTTATTTGGATTTTGACCAAAATTTTAACGATGTATTAGATGAGATAATAGACACAAATCAATGTTTGAGAAAAAGATTACTAGAATTTGTTTTAGAATACTCAATCATTAGAGGATTTGCAATCTTTGAAAATAATTGCAATTGGTTGGTTAGCCATCATGGATTTGATACGTGGTTCCAGAAACTTGGTGAAATAACCTGCGATCATTCAAATAAATATAAATTTTTTCATAGATTAGCTAATACTTGTGAAAATATTCAAACTTTGAGAATATATTTCTGTTCATTTAATGAGAAATCCAGTTATGGATTAATACAATTAATTAAAGCTCAAAAGCGAATCAAAAAGTTAATCCTACATGGTGGCTATGATAATCCAATTTTATCAGACAATTTAAAAGAAGCATTATCGATCCATTCACAATCAATAGTTCATTATGAAGGTCGAGGAGAAACTGGTTTGGATTCTTTAATAGGAACATTTCGCAATTTAAAGATTTTAAAATTAGAGTTGTCTAATGATGAAACAGAAGTTTTAGAATCTATCAAATCAATTTCATTTCCAAGTATTGAGACAGTAGATTTATATATCACTTGTCAGTCATTTCTATCAAACATGTCAGAGTTTATTAAAGTCAATGGAAGGAATTTAAAAATTTTGCATATTAATGGTGATCCAGAAGATAAAGATTGTTTAGGAGAATTATTTCAATCAATCAGTCAATATTGTCAAAATCTTGAAAGGTTATCCATCTTTTATAATAATGAGTTAGATAAATGGTTATTAGAAATATTCAAAAATTGTGATAAATTACAATATATTAGATTAAAAGCACCCCATTGGAAATATATATTTAATGGTGATAAAATAATAACAACTTTGAATCAGTCATTACCAAGATGTTTAGAAGATATACATTTTGTCCAAAACATTGATTTTTATGACAGGGATTCTTTAAGTGTCTTAATTGATAGCTGGAGAGGACCTTACCATTTTATCAAAATAATAAAAACATTGTCAGAAATTTAATACTTTAATAATATATGTATTAGTTTTTTTAATTTTTAATGATAAACTTGACATTCCTCTTAATTCTCCCAATTTCAATTAATTATATACATTTTAACACTATTACCTCTTACACTCTTGCTACTAGCATTATTGCTACCATTAACTATCGAAAAAAATATCAAAATATAAAATAAAATTTTAAAATTTAAGTAAGATAGATCCTGAAAGTGCTCTCCACCTGAACTCGACACACAACACACTTATCAATCATACTAGAACAATTTTCACATGTAACAAAGTGATTACATGGTGAAAAAGAATGTGTTATAGGTTCCTCAAAACATACTTTACACTTGATAATTTGATTCATGTTATCTTTTTGATCTTTTTCACGAAGTTTTTTCAAATCTTCAATCTTCATTGCTAATACTTTTATGATTTCTACATATCTACTTGTTCTATTAATAAATAAATCACATGTCTCCCTCTCTTTAACCAAATCTGCCTTTAATTTTCCCACTTCACCACTATATAAACTTTTTAAACTTGATATTTCTTTTTTTTGATTTTCTAATTTTGAAATGTATCCTTCAACGGTTTTATTCTTATTGTGAAGTTCTTCTTCCAAACATGAAATATTTCCTAATAACTGATTCGAAAAATTTTGTAAGGAAGATATGTCTTGATCATTAAGCTTGCACCTTTGATTATCATTTTCGTTTATTAGCTCTCCATTTGTTTCCTCAAGCTCCTCAATTATATTTTCATAAGTGTTGCATTGAGATTCAAAAATGGCATTATCTCTCAATAATTGTCTATTGATTGAATCTAATACTTTGAAATTTAAATCTAAAGTTGTCTTGCAATTCTCCAACCTTGTAACTTCGCCTTTTAATTGAATATTATCAATTTTTCTTCTATTGCTTTCATTTATCAATAATCTTTTGGTTGCTTCTGCTTGGTTTTTTTCTTGCTGATACTTCAAACATTTGTCTTCAAGCTTTTTGTTTTGTTTCTCAATGTTGTTCAATTTTGTCAAGAGTTGCTTGTTGTCATTTTGAACAATTTGTAATTCTTCCAATCGTTGTTTATTTGAATCTGAAACGCGAAGGTTCAACTTTTCAATCATATTACTATATTCTTTTTTCTGAAATTCTTGATTTTTAGTACGAAGTTTGAATTCTTCCATCTTTTTTTTTACATTTTTATATAATTTTTATTGATACAGAAAAAATGGTGTTTTTTAATTTTTTTTTTTAATTCGATCTATCCAATAAAATCAAAATAGATAAAAAATACCATTTTTCTACTAAAAAAATTATCCGAGAAAATGTCAACAAATGATCCCTTAACCAATAAACTTAATCCAACAACTTCTTCCACTTTAACTATTAGAGTGATAAAAAATTTTGAATATCGAACTGTTAAAAGTATCGTTTTATCAAATATAAATTTAGAAACTACAACAGTTTCTCAATTAAAAAAAATCTTAATCGAAAGTATTTATTTTTTTTACTTATTTTTCAAAAAACCTTTTTTCAACTATTTATTATTCTATTTATTTTTTTTTATAGAAATTAATACTACATCAAAATTTGCTCCTTTCCGTAACGTGATTTATGGTATTGAATTAAACAAAATATATTAAATTCTAGTTTTATTTTAGAATTTAAATAATTGATAATTTTTGTTTTTTTTATATTTTTTTTTTTTATAAAAATAAAGACACTTTAAAGATTTATACAAAAGCTCATGGATTCAAAGTAATTAACTAATTATGATAATGATGATAATTATAGTTGTAGCTATAGTGACATTTATATTTGTAATTATATTTAGAATCAAAATTTAGTTATAAATACAGATCATGATGAATGGTTATTAAACAATGAGAATGAAACTTTGATTTCTTATGATATTGGTGAGTGAATATATTTATTTATTATATTTATTATCTAAAGAATTATATTTTTTTATTTTAATGAAAATTTTTATTATAAAAGAGAATGAAACAGAATTGTCATTTTTCAATTATGAAGCTTATAATAATTATAAATCACATCCAGATCAAAAATGGGATTGATAAATAATATCTGTGATGATGAATAAATTGGAAGGAAATTTTTAACCCAAAAGATTGTTGTGTATCAGATGTCTTACCATTTTTAATAAATCTTAAATTGTATCCCTATCTATGTATATATATATATATATATATATAACATACTCTTTAACAAGAAATTCTAAATTTGTTTTAAGAGTATAATTCCTAAATGGTTATGATCATCAAGTGAATATACTAACCAAAGGAATTTCGTACCCAAGCCACTTTTGCATTATTTCAATTTTGGTTGGGCATCCAAGCCTCGTTTATATCCCTCAGTTTTAGTTTTTAGTTGCTGGTTGAGCCGGAATAAAAACTTATCTGTTCTAAAACAATATAAATTTATATCCTTATTTTGTACGTATGTGATTTCCCGTATAATACGAATATTTTTTTCTTAGAGGCTGTGGCAAAAATAAAGATGTATGTTTGTTAATAAATAATATTTTGAACTAATTAAAGGCTGTGGTAAAAGAAAATGTTGAATTAGAGCAGAGAGGCTGTAATAAAATTAAAGTTAAAACTAATATGGGCAGTATTGATCTTACCAAATTAAGTAAAAATCGACAGATTAGTTACTTAGTTTGGTAAGATCAATACTACTGTAATTGGTTCCTTTCTGCTTGTCGCGCCCCATATGGGAAGGTTATTGTGGTTATTAGAACCTCTCAAATCTATAAAAAAACCTCGACTTTGACTTGTTCATAAAAGGCATTAAAGATCCACCACAAATATCGATAACTACAAAAAATTATCGACGGAAAATGTACAGAAAACAATACAGTTCATGCATGTACTGTTTTTCCGTATGTTATTTTTATAGGGCCGGCGAAGAAGAAGAGTCAAAAATCCCTCTCCAAGATAGAAATAATCGAAAAATTTTGGAACAGTGCGATTTTGCTACTGAGGAAGATGCTAGGTATATTCTAATATGGTGTATGCTGCAACAAAGTGAACATTATGTCACATAAAGATTTCAGTGGTCAAAAATTTAGCCATCACCAATATATAACGTGGTCATGATTTAATGACTTTATAATTTGTTTCTGCTTATTATTTAAATAAACTCATAATACACATCCAAGACAAATTTTTGTGTCTATTGCAATATTCATGATGATTACGCAATGTATTTGATGTTATTATTAGTTGCATCGCTCAAGTAATAATCCTGATGGCTTAATTTTTGTAATTAACTATATTAATTCATCCTATTTTTCCCTGTGCCAGAGATCATCTGCCTCGTGGTGATTATGGGGGCAATTTCTTGAATATAGGAGAAGCTTTAACAGGGCTATTCAAATAACGAATAAATTGAAGAGTCTCCACCCATTTCCTATAATTTTTCATTGCATCATATCCTGAGGTTAGCTTTCATTTCTTTGGCAAATAAAAATAATCAATGTCAGATGTAAATAATTATTAATTCAATAACAATTTTAATCTTATAATTATTAGAAGTTTTTTTTCATATTGTTTTGGAAACATAATGGGATTTATTTCTAGATCGTTAATCTATCAAATTACTCTAGAACAAAAAAATTTGTAATTATATAAATAATTGTATTATATACGAAAAGTTATAATTGCAGTATTTATATTTAGAAATGCATAGTTTTGGAATATTATCATTTCCATATGGAGAAAATTCTTCATATTGAGAAAATAAATAAATTATTTATTTATTTAAAAATAATTATAAGATTCTTGAATTGCCAACAAGTCATCCATTATTCTTTCAACCGTTGTACCGATTTGTTTTGTCATCTCACGTTGCCTATGTAAGGCAAGATTGGGAAATTGGAATAAGAGGTCACCGTCCAATATTCCTTTTGATGGATTAATTGCTAATCGCATTTTTGATTGTAGTAATCTAATTCAAAAGTTAACAATAAAATATTTTTAAATTTAAATTTTCTATTAAAAAAACCAAAAACAAAAAAAGAATACCTAAATGATTTTGGATTTAAGCCTGCTGGATGTTGTATTCCATTAACCATTTGAGAATATAAAAGTTGCATTCGTTTATAAGTTTTTTCTGTTATCGGCGTGATCATTCCAATACTTCCGTCAAGTGTTCCTAACATGAATTTTTTAATAAAAAAATATTATTATTATTTAATTATTATTACTTATTTTATCAAATTTTTTCTTATTTACCACATAAACAAAGTTGTTTGTTTCTACCGATTTCTTCTGAAGTCTTGGATGAAAATTCTAAATCAAAGTCATGATCTTTACGTATAACTTCTTTTTTAGGTAACGTGAGCATTGTTTTCACTTGGGATCCAACATGGAAATCACCGCGGCGGATAAGTTTTTGACCAGCAAAAGATTGCACATCTTTAAAAATTTTCCAAACAATTATTTTATTTTTTTTATTATTTATATATATTTTGATAATTTTTTTTACAAATATATATATGTTGGGTAAAAAATTTTTTTTAAAGAAAGAAATTAAAACTAACTTACTATATGGAGCATATTGAAACATATGAATATTTTTATCCATATCAGCTACAACAAAATATAGTGCTGGCTCATCTATCAAAAAACTTAAACAACTAACTTCCAAAGAATTATAATCTTTGCCAACTAAAACCAATTTTGCTGGTTCTTCCTATAAAGAAAAATATAATTATTTAACATAAAATTTTGGTGTTAATAAAATTTTCAATCGTCAATAAACTCATACCTGAAATCCAAGAAACCATACACTTTTATATACATCTCCCAATAGTATAAAATCTTTAATTGATACTACATTACTTGCATATAGTTGTATATCAATAAATGCAACACTAATAAGACAATCATTATCTTCAAAGGCACGTATAAATATCTTTAAAACATCAAAAAAGTAAATATCTTTAACTTGAATTTTTGAATTTTTTTTTTTTAAATAGAGAATATGTATTTCAATACCTTTGGCCCAACACATGTTAATAAATATCCATTTACATCACAAATAGTAGTTACGGAGCCTTTAACTTCTTCAGCACAAAGTAATTTAAATTTATGATTTGTTTGAGGATTATCAGGTTCCGGTACAACTTCAATAATTTCAAATACATATATCTAAATCAAATAATTCAAATGTTGGAGAAAAATTTGATTAATTTGTATATACTTGAATAATATATAAATATATAAATATATAGACTTACATTTCCTCTCATTCCCACATCTTCCCCACGGAAAAATCCTGTGCCAACAGCTATAAAAGGTTTTCTGCCACTGGAGGTTGATTTTGTTTGAAGACTAACACATTTTATACAAAGACCTTGTTCATCTTCTTGAAAATCATGTCTATAAATAATAAAGTTATATAAATATACAGTCATTTTAGTTAATTTTATACTTTTTAAAGGATTATCACATACTTGTCCACAGTTTCCCATGTGATTGGGGATATTAACTCTAGTGTAAAATTTTGCGTCTCTGGCAAAAATTGTGAACTATCTGTTTATATGAATATCACTCGATTCATTAGATATAAAATATACGTAGAAATTAAAGTTCTTTGTTTTTAAAATAATGGCAATAAGTAATAATCAGTTACCCCCATCAACATCTGTTGGAACTCCATTCTCATCTTTCATATGAAATTCAATTGGTGTAGATGTCATTAGTGCATATACTTGCATTTCAGGATGATATTCAATACCATGAACCGATCTCCCAAGCGAGATTTTCCTTACTGGCCATTCCATGTCATATAAAAATTCTTTAGATAATTCAGAAAACCTACAGTCATCCTAATTCCCATATATAATATATAATAAATATATTTATAAGATTCACTAATTCCAAAAAAATACACATATTATCATTTAATAAATACCTCATTATTAGTATATAAAAATCCATTTTTGCAATGAACATTGTGGAATGGGGTAAAACTTTTTATTTCCCCATCAGCATTCATCGGATGCAACCTCAAAAAATTATTATTGGCACAAATTATCCAAACAGGTTTAGCACCGGTTACAAATACCCCTGTAAATCCAGCAATGTTTGAGAATGGTATCAATCTTCGTTTATTTAATCTAAGTTGTTCTTTACGTGACTCTAAATTGTTTTTTATTTGTTCTTCTTCAATTTCATTAATATCTTGTTGATTATTTTTACTTGATACAGGTTTGTCATGAATATCGCTGTATATAGATTCTCTTGAAATGTACTCGTGAGATACTCGTGAAAATCTTATTGCAAGATGATCGGATAATTCACCTTGCGATTGTGATTTTTGGAAAGGATCAAATATATCAGAGCCAGGAATATATCGAAATGCTTTATATATTATAATATCACCGACACTGGTCCGAGCCTAAAATCAAATATACATATACATACATACATATATATATATATATATTATTTAAATAATGATCAATAAACATTGTGTATAATAAACATACTCTAAAAAGAACATCATTACTATAAGATATGTGTCCTTTTTGTGTAATCCAAGATTCTTTAATAAAATTTCTTGAATATCAGCCGTTTTTCCTGGTGTCTTTATATTTTGTCGTGTAAAAAATCCCACAAGAACAGTTGGGGTCATATCAAAATGTGGAAAATGAAATACTTCTTGTAATTCGGGAAGTTTATAAATCTATTAACGTAAATATTATTAATATAAGAACATAGTTATAATGTGTATGTACATATTCTAGAAATAGTCATATAAAAATACCTCCAAAGAGCCATCTTGTCGATATATCACACACCAATAACTTTCTCTTTTAGTATTCTTAACAACTCCACTCACATTCTCTTCATTTACTTCACCAACAACCTGTAATAAATCATCATCAACCATTTCATCATTAGCTTCTAATAAATCATCGTCATTACTTTTAGACTCATTAAAAAGTTCATCTAATTCATCATCAATTGGCATTGATGTACTTGGTTTATTTTTTTTGGTAAAGTTATTGAATTCATTAAATTTTTTAAGTGGTTCAACATCTTTAACCAGTGCAAAAAGATCTGACTCATCATAGAATATACAACAATTGGCTATTGGAAGCTCCTATAAAATAGCAATAGGAAAAATGTTAGATTTTTTTTAAAATATATAAATAATCTTTAAAATTACATTAATATGCGATGGCAGTTCACAACTATTGATTTCTTTTGTGTCATTATCTATCTTCATCAAATCTACAATTCCAGTATCATATAATAACAATATATATGGATCCACGATGCTTGCAAAAACAATCAATCCATTTCCAGGATCTTTATCAATTGAGATTATTTGTTTACTGTCTAAAATAAATAAAATGAGAGAAATAAGTGATAAAGAAATAACATCACAATATATATATATATTATCATTTATTTTATAACAAAGGCTTGTTCTTAAATATATCATACCAGAATTAAGAAGTTTAAGACCATATGGATGAACTTGTAAAATTAATGAATTATTTAATAATGAGCCAACTTCTATAGTGGGTCCTTCTGTATAAAAATCAGAATGTTCAAGCTCTTGTAACTCTTCACCACAAGCCAAAACCTATTAAAATAGAGAAAGTCGATAATTCAAAATGAAAAGGTAAAAATAATTTGAGTGTTCTTACTAAAAATTTAATATAATATTTTGCCAAAAAAAAAAAAATTTTTTTATTACCATTGTCTTGAAGCTTTTAGAAATAAAAAGATATTTGTCATATGACTGTTCAGAATCTATACTAGGCAGATGATTTGGCAAACCTGGAGTGTCCATAGGAATCCCTGCAAATATAGGATCAATACTTGATATAGCCCACATATTTAAACAGCCATCCATAGCAAAAGAACTAAAAACAACAGGATTTATATTATGCTGTAATAATAATATATTTGTGAATAAATACACTTATATATCTTTCAATATGCTTTTTACTAATGCATTTCATTGTAATGTGATCTTGATAAAAAATATATAATTTCCAATATTACATGAAAAACGCAAATTGACCCTCCTTTTCCATATCCAGAACAAGTCACTAGTTCCAAGTCTTTTTTAATATTATGCATGTGAGATTTTTCCTACAATATTATTGAAATAATAATAACTTTATTAAATAAGTTTATAACCTATAATGTCCAGATAAATATGAAAAAATATTTTTATTACTTCAGAAAATACTAGTTCACCATATGTCATTCCCACAATTGGACCAACATTAAGAAGAGTATCACACAAAGTGAATATATAATCTTTTTTTGTTGAAGATTTTGAATTTTTACTAATGTCATCATTTTTAATTGTGTTATTTATAACATCAGTATTATATAATTCTATAATATATTACAATAATTAATTATTTACCAAATCATTAAATTATTTTGATTTTATGTAAAACAAATAAATTTTCCATCACTTAGTATTTACCTGTTTCAAAATCTAATGTATTCCTTCTTGACTGATAACCAAAGCCATTCACAACACCATTGGATTTTGGTTCAATCTTTAGTGTTTTATATTGAATCAGATGAGAATCTCCAAGTCTTGAACCTAGGAAAAAATACCCATCTGTAATGTAACATGCGCATGATGGCAATGTATCATTGCCAACCTTTTCCAAACTAATTTTTGAGACTGATCTTCCATCCTTTATTAACTTTGCAAGGTATAAATCACCATTTCTCAAAGCAAGTAATATTTCGTCAGTTGTCAAAAAGACATGTTTACAGCCTTCTAAGGTAATCCCCAAATGCTCAAATGAACTATCAAGCGGAAAATCTGTTGTTGATGATGCATAACCATTAACAGAAACACCTATTCCTGGTGAATTTTTAATTACATGAATTAATGCATTAGCTGTTATTATAAGTATACCGCCTATAGGTTTTGGAACTGGAACTGTCTTTACACAAGAATGTGGCAAGTTGTCCATTGAATATATTATTGGATATTTTTTCTGTGCAATATCAAGTGATATGACAATAAGAGAACAAGTGTCTTTTTGTGAATTTAATTTCCTAAAATAAAAAGTTTTTAATTGTTAATAATATAATAAGCCAATAAATTATTTATTACAATATTATTAAACTATTTAAAAGATCTCTTACCCGGGCCAAGTTTGGCAAGGTTCAAAAAGTATTGCCAAAGTTGGTTCATAATAATCATTCAAAAAATTCATGTCTATAATATTTTTAATTTTTGACTGTATTGATGATAATTCAACAACAAAACTTGGTACATATGGCCACTTGCTTTTCAAATTTTCAGAAAAATAAAATGATTTTGTTACTATTTGTACCACTTTATAAATAAATTGGTTATTAAATTAAAAATAATATTTACATTGCAGCATCTTCTTCATCTAAATTCAAAGCTTCTTGACGAAATGGCAAGATTGCCAGCTTATCACCATAAAAATGTAAAACTGCACAACTACTTGATGAATCAACTTTGACTTTGGTAGGAAATGGATTTGAAAGAAATTCCAACTAAAATATTGTGTATTTTTGTGTACATGTTACAATCATCTTTAATCATGAAAAATCAAGTAAATTCAAATCACAACCCACCCACCCTCAATAGTTTAATACCTTGAATTCCTCACGTTCATAATAGTGGATTGATACTGTGACAATACTATTTGTTGCCAAAGAAAACTCCAAAAGTGATAACTATCAAAACATGAAAATTATTGTCATCTCTTGCTATATATACATATAGTTATTTGTTAATTTTGATTTTTATTTAAAGACTACAAACCTTTGCATCCTTGAAACTTATTAATAGACTATCCATACCATTTGCACCAGATGAAATCGTTTGAACAACACCCATAGATGTTATATTTCCATGGAGCTTATATTGAATAATTAATTCAAGGCGAGCAGTCATGTACAAAAGATTTGCAGCTGGTTTGAGTGTAGGAAATATGAAATTCTATATGTCATATTTTTATTTTGTACATGTAGTTAATTTTTTATCACAGAAAAATAAAGAAAACATTACATATATATAATATCATGTATATATTTTCAAAATAAATAAATAAACTTCTATTAAATAATTTTACACTAAATATATTTAAATATTAACTTGATGAATTTTCTCATTTTATTCAAATATATTTTGATAATATAAAGACTTGAATTAAAAAAAATCATTATATATATATCCTTTTTGAAAAATATTATTCATCAATTAAAAGTCTCCAGCCTACCTGATCATCATCTTTACCAAACACATTTACCAAGTTAACATCCTCTTCCATGGCTGTTTCTTCCTCTTTTGTAACTTCAGCTTGCTCAACAAATCTATATATTTGTAAGATCGATGAACGTGCAACTATTAAATTAATGTCAGTAGGCGAAGTAAAAGAAGCACAAACAACTTCCTCGACACCGGTTGGTGGAAATAGATCCTTGTAAAGTGGGTATATAGACATTACAATAATTATTATATCAGGAAGAAAAAATTTTTTGAAGATATTGGTCAGAAATGATCGACCAATTATTTTTTGCGACAATTTTTTTGTAATGGGATATAACAATAATACCTTTCTTCTTTTGACCAAAGATGAACTTAAAGCAAATGTAAACCTAATTAAGAGCCTTAAGGAACATAATTTTGCAATCTCTAATACTTATAAAATCTAAGTCAGAATCCGTATCTGCATTATTATTATATGGCCGGCCTTATTCAGTCACTTTCTTTACAGACATCAGATGTCATTCCATTAGAAAGATCAAGACGTGGAAACTTTCCCAGACCAGATATTTTGAGATTTATTCTTATGAGATCTGATCGCTCCAATATTTTGTTATCTGGGCAATTGACAATAACAATTTCATAGATAAAGATTCATCATCTCACCAAACATTTATAAGACTTTACAAACAATAAATAACGATCAAAAGGCTTCTTTAGAACTTCTCAACTATACACAAAAGCTTTCGAATAGGAAGATGGTAAGTTGATTTTACAATACCAGATGAGTTTTGATAAGTGCTCAGTTCAGTGAAACAACATAGATGGGACTTTTTTGCCAGGCTCTTGCAATCCTTGTTGGGTATGTCCACTGAATTGGGTGCACGTTTTTTTGGGTACGTCCTCCGCATTTGGCCATTCGTGCTTTACTGAGTCTTCTTATTTTATTAATCATACTTCGATACGTAGCTGTGGAATAATGTTGCCGCAGTCTCTGACGTGAACAAAACAGTGAATGTAGTCAAAAGCACATATTAACCTAGACAATATCAAGAATTGGAATATCAATTTTATTTGTAATTTTAGTCTACATGAATCCAAATAGGTACAAGTATCTTATTTTATTTTTAACCTAAAATCTGTAGTTTATGTACTGTAAAGTTCCACTATTACTATTACTATGTTGTTTCAAGGATAATAGAAATTGTTTTACGGATTTTCATACACCAGAAATATAATAAATTAAATCTGCCCAATTAATTTTATAAAAATATATTTATATAAAAAAAAAAAATAAGATAATAATAATAATAATAAAGAAAATATTAAAATAATAAAATGATGATAATTAAAAAATAAATATTTTTTTGATTTAAATTAATGTTCAACTCCTTCAACAACTTCAGAATCGTCGTCTCCTTCAGAATCGTTGTCACATTCTTTAAAATTATTGTCTTTAAAATCGTCTTCTTCTTCTTCACCAACTAAAGAATCAGAAGATCAATTTTTTTTAAAAGCATGTATTCTAAATGGCAGTCCTCTGGAGATTAAAGGTCTGAAGGAAAAAAAATTACTATTGGAACAAAAAAAAAATTAATATACTTTATTCTCACTTCTTTCTCTATCTCTTCTTCTATCTCTTCTCTCACCTTTTCCCTCAAAGCCTCTTTTTCTTTTAAATGTCTGAGAGCTTTTTTATTTCGTAGATCTTCAAGGAAGCCAATTAGGTCATCATATATGCTATTTTCATCTGATACGATGATATTATATGATGCCAACTTAGCTTCTGTTCTCATTTGATTACTTATTTGGTGTTCGGAATTAATGACTAATATACCAATTGAGGTATAATATGGGTATACAGCCATTACACCTTTTAATTCGCAAACAGCTATAGAGAAGGTTTTGCAGTGCTATAAATTAAAAAAAAAAACATTAATAATATATTTAATTATATATATATTCATATTAAATAACATGATTACTTTGCATTGGACAACTAGGACATATCTTTCACCCTCATAAACAAACGCTCCTATTAAGTCAATTCCTCCATCCCCGGAATGTCTAGAAAATAATAAAATATAAAAAAAATAAGTTTTGTTTCATCATTATCAAGAAGCAAAATAAACGTTCATAACAAGTTGTCCAACAAGTTACGACCATTATGTGCTTTTAAATTTTTTCATATATCCTATCCCTGACACTCCAGCCAGCGGCTTTTCGGATGAAAGAAAGAATGTTCATAATCAGGTCGTCCACCATACATTAGGTCTGGTTACCTAACTGGTAACTGTCACAAGTTATGGCCACGGAGTGCTTTCAATTTCATTTCTTTTAAACCCTAGTAGCAGAGTAACTTCAGGTACATAATAACTCAACAAAAAATACTCATTCGGTCCTTACAAGACTTATTTTATGGTGGCCCAATTGCTTTTTTAATGTCGGGCTCAAAATTTTTTCCTTTACAAACGGCCATGATTGATTTTATGATAAAACAGAAAAAAGGTACACGCGTTCTCGAAGCATAACATTTGTGCTTCACACACGTGCACAAACGTGCAGAAGCGAAAAGATCGATTTTTTGTGCTACATTTAAATTTGAATCTCGTGTCCAATAAAAAATACGGAATTTATTAGTTAGTTTAAGGGATAAGCAAAGAACTTAAATATATATTACAATTATAGGCCTGTTAAGTGGAATACAGGGGGTTTTGGGTAAAGAACCCAGACGTAAATGCTCAAAACGATTGCGAAAGGGACAGTGAAAATATTTACCGATGAAGGCATTCTAGGCTCGAGAATCATGCTTGAAAAGGGATCTTCTCATTAAGAGGCTGGTTACCTTATTATGTCTGTGGGTTCTTTGTAATATACCAGTACGATCGTTTGAACCAGTAGTGATGGAGTTCAAATATTATACGTTGCAGTGTTGAAGCCCTGTATGATAAAAAGCAAATATCAAATAACTGGAATAAATAAAGCTTTCCGGATGTTCGGCAAAATAAACCAGCGTTTTGGCTTTTACTTCGGGCGAAACTACTTGTTGATAATCTTCAACCAACTCTCTTCATTTTTCCTCGTAATAGATTTTGTTATTGTCTCCGCTCAGCTTCCCGTTCATCTCACTCCCCTCTGCTATTCGGATAAAAGATTAGGTGAAGATTGATATTTAGAAAGCATTAGACGATTAATTCCTTTTTCCATTGCCGCAGAAACTTTGGGTTTTAGTCCGCCAATTGGCAAATTAGTTCCCGGAACCAAAGGTTTACAAAATAGCTTAAATTTTTTTTAATTTGCGAATAATTAAAAATCCCTTCGTAGAAAAATGTCATATCTATTATCTGAAATCATATGATTGTAATTTTATTCTGAAAATAATGGTAAAAATTCACATACTTTAATATGACATCTTGTTGTAAAATTATTACGTCAAATTCACAGTCGTTAACTCAAAAATTACATAAGTAAAACCTTGATAAGTAAAATTGCTAATAAAATATAAAAAAGCTCACATATAAATATACATTCTCTTCAATTTTTTATTTCTATATTCATCGGTTGTGCTAAATTTTTCTTTTACTGAATACAAATCCAGTTCCCATACACACACTCATTTACTACATTAATATTAATATGATCGGGTTCGATAAAATCATACTTGGAAGATTATTATCAAACGAAAATTTTACGCAAAAACTTTTTATAATTACTTGTAAATAAAATAATTATGGAAGTTACTTTGCAATAATAATATTAATTAGGGAGGAAATAACTTCTGATCTTCACAGAGGAACATAATAGGTGATTAACATTCTAATAAATAAAAATAAAAATAAAAATAAAAACGTTGTTTCTATTTTCTTTGTTTGAAGTGCTTGATAAAAGCAACAAGTGTAGTTAGTGTCTTGGTAAAAGGTAACAATTATGGAACTTTGATAAAAGGCCGCATTTTATTTGCTTTAGTGAGCAAGCAAGCAAAATTAGGACTAACGTTGCTAAAATAGTGAAGTATCGTATCGTCAAAAGGTTAATTGGAAATACTGTAGTATTGTCGTGATCGTTAGACAAGCTACTTAAATTGTTTCGCAAATAAACAAAAGCGAGTTTGCAATCAGCCAATAAATAAATGTAAACGATTGAAATAAATCGATCACAAGTGAGTAAAAGGAACTTTATAGAAGCCCTTTAGTTATGTAAAATGGCAACTTTATTTATCAGTAAAAAATTTATTATTTCAAAATAATTTAGCTTTAAAAACGAAATAAGGATAAAATAAAAAGATATATAACTATAATAGATAAATTTATATTAATTGTTCATCAATTCTTCCTTTTACTACTATTACTAGAATCTAATTAATAATAATTTCTGATTAATTAATAATGAAATTTTTATTCACCTTCAGCATTTAAGAGAAGAGAGTTAAAACCAAGACTATTTAATGAACTATCATTACTTAAGATTTTAGATTTAGCAATCTCTTCATCTAATATTCTACTCGTATGATATGCATTTGGATGTGATTTGTGTACTTGTTGCGAATTACTACCACCACCACTGCTGCTGCTATCATTAAATCTTTTTAACAAACTATTATTACTATTATTATTACTACTATTGATACTACTTCCAACACTATTATTATCATTATTATTATCATAAATTTCTTTTGATATTTCATCAGCTAAATCATAAAGTTCTCTACTAGTTGGTCTTTTTGATGGATCCACATCCCAACACCTCTGCATCATTTGCACATAATCATCAGGCATTTCAGGTAATATTGGTGGTCGTAAACCTTCACATATATCAAAAATCAAACGATGATTGTGAGCTCTATCATCAAATGGTGGATGACCTGCAAATATTTCCCACATTAACATCCCAACACTATAGATATCTGTTTCTTTTGTGTTCTTTTTGCCTCTAAGTAGCTCAGGTGCAACATATGATATAATCCCATAGACTTTATTTGATGATTTTTCATCAACTGGTCCACATAATCCCAAATCTGTAATATAACAACCGCCTCCACTTATTAATATATTACCACTATGTAAATCACAATGGATTAAATCCTTTTCATGTATCCAATATAATGCAATACATAAATAATAAAAGATTGTAATTCTGTCTTTTAATGTTAAATTTAAATGATTTTTTCGTAAATAATTCCTTAAATTTCCTTCAGATAAATAAGTTAAAACTATTGCATAATTTCCATTATCTGGGAATTTGGTTACACCATAACATCTAACAATTGATGTTGATTTAATTTTACAATAATTTATTGCCTAAAATAAATATAAAATCAATTAGTATTATATAACATGGTATTGTTTATTTTGGTTTTAAATGACAACTACCAACCTCATCAAAAAAATGTTTTCCTGGATTATTTGAATTGTTTAAACTTTTTAATACTACTTTTTGTCTTCCAAAATAACTAAAAATTTTTTTATTTTCATTGTAATCATTTATTTGTCCTCTTGTCCATGCAGCAGTGTAAATTGAACTAAATCCACCTTCAGTTAACTTTTTTATATCATCAAATTGCTCAAAAGGTATCCATTCCAAAATATAGTCTGGTAAAGATGATTTCATTTGACATTGTTGAATAAAATCATCAATTATGTTATTTCCAGATGTCCAAATGGTGAAAAGACTCCGTAATTGTAAACTAATACAACCTTCACAGAACCTATCAGAGTATCTTGTCAATTTACACTTGCTACACTCTTTCGGTTTTCCTTTTTTATTTTTTGCATTATTTAATTCAAATTCATAAATAAATTTTTCTTTATAATATTCTTTTTCATTTTCAGAAAGCTCTTTGTTTTTTTGGACTAATGAAAAAAAATAATCTTTTCTACTTTTTTCATCAGAATTAATTACTGCATCGTTATGCATTCCATTATAAATTTTATTTACAAATTCCCTTTTTTCTGGTGATAATGACGATAATAATTTACCATATAACATTATATAAAAAAAATAAAAAATAAAATTTGGTTTTGTGTTTAATGAATAGAGTGGTTGGTTACATTATTTGAACACAAAAGAAAAGGCTGCCGTGTCACGATCTCCTGCCAAAAACTGTAAGTCGTGCTGGGTTTTTGCCGATTGTCTCTTTTACGTCTCTGTTTTTGGCGCGATCAACGTTTTCACTATATTAATATTTTGCAAAAATTTGTCATACGGCAAATGTTTTGCATTTCTTGCGTTGCTTCTCCTTACAATCTAATTTAAAGCATTGCAATGAAAGCATGAAGCATGATCAGAAAAATTCTTTGTGGGAAATATTTGCAGGTTATCCACCATTTGACAATAGAGCTCACAATCATCATTTAATTTTTGATATATGTGAAGGTTTACGACCACCAATATTACTTGAAATGCCTGATGATTATGTGCAAATGATGCGGAGTGTTGGGATTTTTTTTATATAGGAAAGAATTTTTTGTTTTCGATGAGTGGTAATTTCAAAAAAAATAATTTTTTTTATTTTTCTGAAAAAAAAAAAAAGATCTACGTAATTTTTTTTTCGACCACACTTTTTTTCTATTATTAACAAGTTCACAGTGTGAGCTTCTGCTACGCGAGAACAAAATTCATTCATTTTAAATTGGGCTTTGCGTCTTCTTCGCCGCAAAATGCAAAAAAAAAAGACATCACTCGGGCCAAGACAATAGTCTATTTTATTAAATTCAGAACATATAAATAAGACAGCCGTCACCATTTTTTTTTTCATTTTTTCTTTCATAGAAAAATTCCTCTCAGACTATTTCAGCGCACGGAACTCAACTTCCACATTCAGCCATGGCATCTTCAAGCAATCAAGTTTTACACTACGTGAGCACGAAATCATACAAAAACACACGATTCGATCGGAGCATCAAAATTAGTCAACCATATTATCATTTAGCAAAAAATTTATTTATTTATTTTAATTTAACGATTTAGCACGAATAAAAAAAATTACACATATCGTGCAGTGTAACTTTACAATACACGGAAAACATTCTGGCAATAAAAAAGTAAGTGATAAATTGGATCTGAACTTGATCTCCAATTTAGAGAGGTAACTAACAACTATATACTGGTGAAGTTTCAGGAGCAATGGGTTCTATATAACGTTTCGCGTAACAACAACTTCCACTATGCTAAGAAATGTATCATGAGGTAATAATAGGTAACACAGGTGATTATGCATACAAAATTTCCATGATTTTCGAATTTCTTCTACACAAGATAGTAAGTATACTTTATAAAAAGAAATATATATTCCAAATACGACTTGTATTAACTAAAATGCAAAAAATGAATTGCTCTTTATTATTTTTGTATTTCCATTTATACTCGTGTTCTCACCTATTTGGATTCCCTTTTCTGGGTATGTTCTTTAATAAGTAAAATAAATACATATTTTGTGAAAACCATATATACTGATCAATGTCTCTTTAGACTTTTCATTTTATTTAATGCAATTCAGGAACAAAATCCACCTGAAACACTCCAAAGTCTTCTCAAATGAGACAACCGTTATGACCTTGATCAAGCACAAAGGTTTCTTGGTAAAGTTCATAATTTTCTTTGTATACATGAATAGCATAGTTGCAATACATCGTGTTTTTGATGTTTGTTTCCTAACTCATTTGTAGCTCATGTGGGTAAGAACTTCAGGTGGCCCTCTTCAACACCAGAATACCTCAGAAAAACTGCCTTTCAGCACATCACTGATGTTAAGTTTGATCTTGATGATGAGGTCGAATTTAACCTCTTATTTTTCTATAATTTACTTGACAATGGTGAATTTACTGCACATGAAAACGAGCGGGTGACAGAAGGTAATAGAGTATGGACAAAGGTATAGTGATGAGGAATTGTGCCATATTCTTGAAATCATGCCTGGCGCTATCCAACTCCCAGTTGATCAGAAATATTTACCATGTACTCCACCAGCAAAGAGGGTAATTGTTCAGCATACTGGAAATAGTGATGACTACAAGGTTTGGATATGGATCTAAACATAGGTTTTAGAGAATTGTTTTATCTTATGAAATTGTATTTTAGTAAAAGAATATATTCATGTAGTTTTTCAAGTTAGTAATTTTTTCGAATAAAGGTCAGAGTCCATGTCAAAAGCCTAATGAAAATTTAATTGCTCAACTTGAGCACAATTTTTATGATATATAAAATAACAACATCATGATGTGTATCAAAGCACTAATAAAGAACTTATAAAATAGTTTAATAGTAATTATTTTAAAGGTTTAAACGGACCCTATATTTAATGGGTATTAGTATTTTGCTACAATTGGCTAATGCTCCCACTGATGAATCTTGCAAGACCAGAAAATACTTCCTGATCATTAATTCGACCGGTTTTTTCAGGACAACTTTCACCACGTTTCTTAGCATAAGCTAGGGCTTGATATAGATTCCACTCTTTCCAAGCTGATGGCTTTTATAGGGGCCAGTCCTATTTCGAAGAACCCGGAGCTCTAATAAGACATTTTTTAGGTAATCTAGAACTTTTGGTAAATGCTTAACCCATGCTCTAATTAATTTTGGGTTTGAAGGTATAGATTCGACAGCATATTGGGACTTTATATAATATCACTGCAAGTGTTTTATTAAATCTTTCCATGATTGTGAGTCCCGAATGGGAATATAGACCAATTACTCGAATTGTGACATTATTTTCTTGCATTAATCTTGAAGTTTCGCCCATAAACTCTCTGCCACCATCTACCTGGAGCAATTTAGGCCAGGTAAGAGGATTTTCATAAATTTTCTTAAAAACTTTAGCAACTTCTGAACTATTTTTAGAAGTGAGTGAAATAGCATATTTAAATCTACTGGCGATATCTACAATAGCAAGTACCCATTTATATATTTTTTTACCTACTATATCATTAGTGAGGTGTAAAATAAATTGGAAGAAGCAAATAATTAAATAACTTTTGCTTTCGTTTGATGTTATTAAATTCGGTTTAAAACTGGTTCTGATTTGAGAAGGTAATTAAAACCAGTTCTTGAAAATAAAACCTCTAGCTAATGGTGATCATCACCAAAAATATTAAAAAGTCAAAATATTCATTAACAATTCAATGTAGTTTTTTTCTAATTTTTATTATGTAAATGCTTGAAGATCTGACTGGTGTTTTAACGAGATCACTACCCACTTTTCTCAATACCAGTTCAATTATAATTGTCCGAGCCCTGGTGAAGTTTTAGGAGCAATATAACATTTCGTGTAACAACAAACTTCCACTATCAGAAATTTTTTTTTTTAAAAAAAACCTATATAATAGGTCATGTCTAATTCTAACAATAGTACTAAAACCAATGATGAAATATCCACTGGTCACTCAGGTAAATGCAATAATCACCAGTTCAAACAACAATAAGATAGAGACTAATTATATATCTTCCTTGATAGCTCTCATAACTACTTGGAAAAAAACTGAATTCTAAACATTGATCATACTTAAAATTTTTTGAACTAAACCGTGCTGTTATCGTCGATGTGCCACCATTTGTAGATGATTGGAGTGGTCTTGGTGGTGTGTGGTCTAGAAGATTTCTGCAGGAAGTGAATGCACTAAGCCCAATGTTAAATAATATTGTAAAAAAGATGTTAATATTATTTTAATTTAATTAGTGAAAAGTGAGCTTCATATTTGTTATCCACTGGATCTGGAGTATCAGCAATCTTTCTGACCCAATTGTTGATGGTGGAAGCTTTTGATTCGTTATCTACCAGATCTGAAGTACCAGTAATCTTCCTGATCCCCATCTTCGCATCTCGCTTTGTTTTGTTTCTGTTTGGATGATTGAGATATTAAAACAGTTAAGAATGTAACCTTCTAACAGTCTAATATATTTCAAAAGGTGAATTCAGAACATGCTGACTCTACCTTGTGCTATTTTTGGTCTGAGGTGATATCGGATAGGAAACAGGTAGGCTATGAGTGAATACTACTGGTTTTTGGGCTTGTAAATGAATCCTTCTGAAGGAAATGCCTATAATCATCATAATAGCTTAGGCTAAAGAATATTCTTGATACAGAAAGTCTTGAATTGTTGGGTGGGGTGAGCAAATTTCAATCACAAAAAATCTTTACCAATTACAATGACCAGGTCCTGAAATTAGTGTATGATAAGTGCTCTCATGATAGCACCTTAGATTTTGAGGACACAAATTCAGTTACTACTGAGATGGCCAAAAAGGTTGGCATATATAATAATTAGTCTACATAATCTACATTAATTTCGTTTCTCAAAACTTACATTGTTGATATGCACACAGATCAAAACCAATAAAAATGAAAATGAAGATGTGTATTATAATTTGGGAGAAGATGATGAGAGTGAAATCACACAGGTATTCTGACATTTGCTACCTAATTTTCTAAGGCAAGATAGAAATTCACAAAAAGTTACTTTCCTCCAATGGTTGAAATATTTATAACTAACTATATTAGCATGAAAAAATTAGCAGTTGTTACAATTGTGCGTGCTAACTTTAAAATTTTTAATCTCAGAGTGAAAAAAAATACAATTGGATTTCGTAGAGATTCCATTGAATTGGCACCTTCTCCTCAAGAACAATTAAATTTTTTACGTCAAATAAAAGAAAGTACTTCTAACATCTGTAAGAATTGTTGTTCAAAAATCAATCACAATGAATTAATAAATGATGATTTGTCTGATGATTAATTAGATGAAAAATGTAATAAAATAATTTCAACAATGATTACAAAACCAATAATTTTAATAAACTAATCTTATTGGAACAGGTTAATTGAAGCAAACATAATAAACATCAGTGTAAATAATACTCTTGCAGAGAAGAGTCTTTTCTAAAGATTAAAAGAACAAGCTAAATCTATGCCATTTCCCCAGGTTAACATTGATGGGCTTAAAAATTGGTTCAAAAAAAAATGATTATATATATATATTATTAACAAAGAAAAAAGATTTTAACATTTGCCATCTCAGAGTGAAAAAAAATACAATTGGATTTCGTAGAGATTCCATTGAATTGGCACCTTCTCCTCAAGAACAATTAAATTTTTTACGTCAAATAAAAGAAAGTACTTCTAACATCTGTAAGAATTGTTGTTCAAAAATCAATCACAATGAATTAATAAATGATGATTTGTCTGATGATTAATTAGATGAAAAATGTAATAAAATAATTTCAACAATGATTACAAAACCAATAATTTTAATAAACTAATCTTATTGGAACAGGTTAATTGAAGCAAACATAATAAACATCAGTGTAAATAATACTCTTGCAGAGAAGAGTCTTTTCTAAAGATTAAAAGAACAAGCTAAATCTATGCCATTTCCCCAGGTTAACATTGATGGGCTTAAAAATTGGTTCAAAAAAAAATGATTATATATATATATTATTAACAAAGAAAAAAGATTTTAACATTTGCCATGTCATGATCTCCTTCCAAAACTCGCAAGTTGTGTGACTTCATGCAGTTTTCTCACCGATTGTCTTCTTTTGTGTCTAGCCGTGCCTGGTATTTTCAGTTTTTGGCACAATCAACGTTTTCACCATATTTAGCAAAAATTGTGTCATACGGCAAATGTTCCACTTTATAAAACAGGTTGCAATTGAAACCGAAAAATCTTTGTTTTTAAAAAAAAAGTCAATCTACATAATTTTTATTGCAAAGAAAAAAAAATTTTTTGATCCACGTAATTTTTATTGCGAAAAAAAAAAATACAAAGAATAATAAAA